AGGCGTGAGAGCAGGAAGCTGAGGGCAGAAGGGGCCAGGTCCCCATCACCCTCCTTATCCTTCCCTTCCCCCCAAGTAATGACGCTACACAAGTAGCAGCAATGAGAGTCTTTTCTCCAAGTATTTACACAGCTTAAATACCCACGTGGGAAAGGGGGATCTTGGCTTCAGCCCCAGCTTGGGTGCACGGATGGCAGCCCATGCTCCTGTAGTGCCCCTGCTGTGGGCTGCACGGGGGGTCATGCCACACTGCTGATGGGGCTAGACCTCTGCTTTAGTGTTTCCAGCCCCACAGGCTTGGGGAGAAGCAGTGGCTCCAGGGACACCGGGGGACAAACAGACAAAGCGAGGCAAGCAAGGGGGCTCCATACACACGGGCCGTGGCAGGGACCTGGAGCCCCCCTGCCCAACCCCTGGTCCCTAAGGGGCAGCACCCAGCGTGTGGGCCAGGCTCCTGCCCCGCTGCCAGCCTAGGGTGGGTTGCTGAGCTCCTTAATGGCCTGGAGGATTCTCTTCATGTGGCCCACCTTGGTGATCCCCAGGTCCTGCAGGAATGAGAGAGGGGAGCTGATGTGCACATAGGGGGGCAGCTCTCTGCTCTTGCTGGCACGGGAGCTGTGGGGCAGAGGACAAGGGTGCAAAGCCCAGCTCCCCATGCTCTCCCTGCCAGAGCATGGTCCTAGCTAGGAAGCCCTCTGCCCCCTTGCAAGCATGGCCCCAGGCCTGGGTGCAGGAGGGGGCATGGTGCTGTTGATCCTGCCTTGGCCAGCGGGCCAGGGCCAAGCCCCTCCCGTGCCTCCAGCCCCTGTGTGCAAGCGCAGCAAGCAGTGCGAGCATAGCCCTGGGGGGATGGGGATGGGTGCAGGGTCAGCACCTGCCTTCCGCCCCCCGCCCTGCTCCCCCAGGAGGGGTGGGGAGAGGAGGTATGGAGGCCACCATGCTCCCCAGGGCTGGGGGTCCCGCAGGGCAGCATAAGGGGGATTGTACCTTCAGGTCTCTCCTCTCCAGCAGGATCAACTCGGAGCCCTGGATGTCATGCCGGACAAAAATGTCTTTGTACTCCCCTAAACCGAGTGCTTCCAGCCAAGCTGCCACCTCCTCGGAGCCCCACTTGTCCGCTAGCAGGGAGGAAAACCACAGAGGTGGGTGGGCCCCCGTGGAGACAGCGGGACGCAGCAGGGCAGGCAGCAGCCATCGTCCCCCTCTCCCGCCCCCAGCTCTGACAGGGCCAGAGGGCACAGTAGGCTCAGGCTGCAGAGTTTTCTTCCCTCCTTAGCTTACTACAGAGCATCCAAGCTTCACGCCCTTGACAAGCTCCCCAGCCCTGGGACAGGGACTTACCCAAAGGGATGAGCTGTACCATAGCCCCCTTCTCCCCCTTGCAGTGGTGGTGGATTTACATGGCTGGGGAGCTCTGCATGTCCGTTAGCAGAAAAATTAAGCTCTAAGGGGCTGTTGGTGACAAAGGTGACATCCCCAGGCAGCCAGGACATGCCCTGTCCCCTCCTGGAGCATCCCTCCACAGCATGCCCAGGGCAGGTGGCCGATGGATTGGGGGGGGGTGTCCCTACCAGGGTGGGCTTGTGCCTGCCTCCCTGGCACACTGCCCACTTTACCTGGGAGCACACTGTTGGTCTTCTGCTTTTGCACCTTGTCCTTGTCCTTCCTGGGCTTGGGGATATTGAGGCGAAGCTTGAAGCTGCCCTTGTTGGCACTGCCGGTGCTTTCCTGTCAGAAGCCAGGCTGAGCAGGGTGCTGCAGCCCACCCCGTGGGCAATGTCCCCCACCCTGGTCCCTCTGCACCCACCTCCTCAGCAGGGTGGGCAATGGGCCCCAGCCAGTGGATGTCCAGCAGCCTCTGCAGCTCCTGGCCCAGCACGCTCAGGGGGCCATGCAGCGCCTCCTCCTCCTGTGGCGAGTCCAACTGTGGGGGACAGGGACCATCCCCAGCACTGCTGCCACCCTCAGAGGTGCCTCCGGGGGGGGCTCAGGGCGCTCCCCAGCCCTCCCACTCACCGCCTTCCCTTCCAGGAATGC